ATAATAGGGGCATGACAGCAGAAATATGATGAAAAGAAAATTAGAAAAGCATCAGATTAGAAGTAAAAGAGAGGACAAGGAAAGCTGACGAGGAGCTGAGAAGTAGGATGGAAGAGAATTAAGGGGACAGAAGACCACGACCAGGGTTACGGAATCCGAGAAGAGAAGAATGGTGAATGTTCATTGTTAAAGAAGAGGTGAACAAAGAAAAGATTGACCATAGAAGAAGAAACGGAAGGTTAGAAGAATTATTATTGGTATTCTATTGAAAACCAGGAGAAGTCTCACGTCCTAGTTCCTACTGCTGCCTTTGCTGGAACATCTAAAGATCGCAACCTGTGACCCTTGTCCACCTGCCATCTGTTCTATACAACAATTTATCTAAACGATGGCTAAGCTACCCTGCCAATATTAGCATGTGGTTTCACCTCTTTCTGTTTTATAAATTATACTGTCACAGTTTTGGTGATTTAACCTGTATGCATATTAATTGCTTATTCATTTCCTGTCTTGTGCAGTAATTTATTAGTATGATGAATTAGTGATGGTTGCAATAAATATATAATACATTAGCGGGACACATGAGTTTAGGGAAGCTGAAACAAATACATGGAACATGAGAGCAATAAAGAAAAAAATTGTGATCTGATATAGGGGACGGCATGAAAATATATCTTTAACTGTCGTATCACTCATATCTCAGGTATATGTTCTTAGGGTTTAGTGGTCTTATCATGTACTCTTTGAGATTCAGTACCATGTAAATTTCTTGTTCTCTTTCTTGCTTGAACAAATAATTTCCTTCAAAGAACCTTTGTAGCTTACCCTGCATTTAAGTAGGTAATTTTCTCCTCTTCTTTTTCTTTGTGCAACACCTGTGGCTATGTATGGCTATGCAACCCTGTCTGGTGCTTTGAGCTTCATTATTCACCTCATATTGACAAAGCTCTCTGGGCATTTTTCTCTGTTAAGGGCGATGCTGGGGAAGAAGCAACGATTTGCAATTGGTGAAAGTGTCTCTTTGTTTTTTATCAATAAATTTATTTTTCAGCTTGTAAAAGAGTCAGAGTGAATTACTTCAAATCCTTGCAATGGTAGTGCATGGTTGTTTGAAATTTATGAGTTTTAATCATTACCCCCTTTCTTTTCACCTCATCCATAGCATTTCTTTCAGATATCTTGTGGGTTTAATTTCAAATCCCCTAGCAGATTTATCAATTCTAGTGGATTTGCAGTTGGATCTTGTAGGAGTAAGACTCGAATCTTAAGTTGCCTTTCCAGATGGAACACAAAAGAGGCTTTTAGATATGTCACCCCAAAGGGTTACCTCTTTCTTCTTTTTTTATTTGGTGGTGGTGGTGGTGGTGGGATATTTTACGCATATGCAATTTGAATAAGATAATTTACATGGCATCATCAAATGGTCACCTGATTCTTGTATATTTTATCCCACCGTTGTTTCTGAAATGTATTTTCAGGTTTCTTTTATATGAAATCATTGCCATATTTTACTTGAAAATCAGTAGCATCCAGGGAGCTTCTTGTTCTACATGTATGTGCATGTTCCTGAACTTGTAAAGCAAGCTAGTATGAGAGTGTACTTTAATTGTCAACTTGCTTGTTTCGGATAGAGTGAAGCAGTGCCTCCAAGGCAATGTATAGAGAGAAACTAGTTTAAGTGTTAGCCATTTGGGTGCAAGGAAACTCTACAAAAACTAGCTAAACATTTGGGTGCAAAGAAAATCTACAAAAACTAGTTAGCCAGTTGGGTGTAAAGAAAGTCCATGTCAAGTACATATTAGATTGCATTGGGTGTGTTGCTGCACTGATGTAAACATGTAAACTGCAACTTTATGTGCCTTAACAATTTTGAACCTTAGATTACTTACACATGTAAATCTGTTACACGTTTTATCAATTTTAACATCATGCTTCACAATGTTCAATGAAAAGCAGGGTTGCCTTTATTAATCTATATTAAACTGATGATTAATTTCAGTAATATCTATTATGGAGTTTGCATCAAACCATGTCTGAGCAATTATTTATCTTCACCTACAGAGAAATGTTGGTGAAAATGCACTCTTATGTTCTAATTAGGTATTTTGATTAATGGCTGATCTTAAAATGCAAGAGTGTTCCTCTGATGCTTTACATCTGTTAGCTATAAGTTTTATGGAGACTTAATTTTTAAAATATTTTTCTTGAAACATGTTTGGAGAACTTGTGATGAGAATCCTTGGATATAGTGAGCTTGCGTATTTGTACCATGCTTCGTGTTAGCGATTTTTTTCATGTATAAGAAGATATTCCTTTTATCATTCATCATACTACCATGAAATACCAGCTGTCTGTGCAGTATATTCTGTTTAAGTCTTTTGTGCTTCGAATGGTGTTTACTTTTTCCTAATTAATTTATTTGCTAAGAAGATTTAACTTTCTTTGGTACAGGGGTATGCACTAATTGAATATGAGAGCTACAATGAAGCACATGCTGCAATTCAAGCACTCAATGGGACTGAGCTTCTTACTCAAACCATTTACGTTGACTGGGCATTTAGCAATGGGCCTTTCAAACGAAGAAACATGCGAAGGAGGTAAACTTTGGTTACATTCTCTTTTAAGTTGTTTTTTTTACTTGCAATATTCCCTTGTCATACACTTAACTCTTGGTTTCTTGATTGTTTATGATTTAGAATCAAATCTAACGATTCATGTTAAGTTTAGGATGTAAAAGCAGAATTATAATTTGTTCAAACACCAGTCAAAGGCACATGCTTGAACTTCTTTTCTTTTTTCTTTTTCTTCTTAAGTTTTTTGTTG